GAAGATACACATCCATTAATATAATAATTAATATTTTATATTATTTTTTTTAATTTTTATATTAGTATATTTTATTTCTATATTATTTTTTATATTAATTTTAATTTTTTTATTTTATTTTAAATAAATATTAATGATATTTATGTTATATTTAATTATATATTTATAAAAAGAGAATTACTATTTGTACACACCATGTACAAACACGGTTATTATATACTATATAAATATAGTATATATAGTATATAGTATATATATATCGTACCCCAGATTGGAATCTGCCCGATTCAGAATCTGGCTGTCCCAATTCAGAATCAGGGTAGCCGGATTTAGAATTCTTATACGGGATACCCGGTTCAATAATTAGTAAGGTTAGGATTAGGGTTAGAATATTAGTATAGTGAACTGGGTACCCCGTATAAGAATTCTAAATCCGGCCATTCTGATTCTGAATCGGAGCAGCCGGATTCCGAATCGGGTGGATTTCAAATCCGGGTACAACATATATACTGTAGTATAAAATATATTATTGTATACCAATTATAGTATATTACACAAAGTGTTGTGTGCTGTTGTGTGCCGGTTGATTAACAAAGTGCTATACCGGGTTGCATTATACAAAGTGTGGTGCCAGGTTGTGGTACACAAAGTGCGTTACCGGGTTGTATTACACAAAGTGCTATGCCAGGTTGTGTCACACAAAGTGCTGTACCAGGTTGCATTACACAAAGTGCTGTGCTGGGTTGTATTACACAAAGTGCTGTACCAGGTTGTATTACACAAAATGCTGTGCCAGGTTGTGTTACACAAAGTGCTGTGCCAGGTTATGTATGCCAGGTTGTGTATGCCGGGTTGTGTGTACCGGGTTATATTGCACAAAAATATTATTCCAGATCATGTCATGTGTATATTATATAGAACGATATACACTTGCGTAAGTACATTATTGAAAGTCTGACCATGTAAATAAATTAATGATGACAAGGAAATTACATTGCTAACTCTTTTTTTTTTCGAGATAACTTGATAATGCAATAATGCAGCATTACGGTTCATACGAAACTATGGAAACCGGTTAAGATGAAATCCACGCCTTTTCTTTCACATCGCTATTATCACGTGAAAGCACAGCTATATTCCCTTTTAACGTAGAACTCTTGAGTTTATTTAGTGTTTTCTTTAAGCATTCAAAGCAATGATTCTCACCATTCTCATCTTGAATCTCTTGTAGGAAGATGGAGTTCACGTTCTTTTGTTATCATCAATAGATAACCAAGAAGACGAGATCCATGTTTTTCCGTCGTCATTACATGATCGGGTAATTCCAAATATCCTATTTGGCTTTTTTTTACCGTTTGAGTTTTGGAGCTTTGGAGCTTTATAATTTACTTTATAAATACTTTTTGAAATCATTCAGGAAGGTAAAATCAATGATCTTTTGTCGTCTCAATCATATTGCTAGGAAAATGTTTTTTCGTCGCCGTCATCACATGATCAAGTAATTCTGAATCTTTTTATTTTATTTTATTTTTTCTTTAAACAGTTGGAGTTTTTGAGCTTTATCATGAAACAATGTAATTTACATTATGAATGCTTTTAGAATCAACAGGAAGATGAAATCAACAGTCCTTTGTCATCTCAGCCATATAACCAGGAAAATGGCTTTCTGTCATCGTCACTATCATCACATGATCAGGCAATTCCAAATATCCTATTTGGCTTTTTTTTTACCGCTTGAGTTTTGAAGTTTTGGAGCTTTATAATTTACTTTATGAATGCTTTTGAAATCAATCAGGAAGATGAAATCAATGACCTTTTGTTGTCTCAACCATATTACCTGGAAAATGGTTTTCCGTCATTATCACATGATCAAGTAATTCTGAATCTTTCTATTCTTCTTTTTTTTTAACATTTTGAGTTTTTGAACTTTATAATAAACAATATAATTTACATTATGAATGCTTTTAGAATCAACAGGAAGATGAAATCAACGGTCCTCTGTCATCTCAAGTATATAACCAGGAAAATATTTTTCTGTCGTTGTCGTCGCCATCACGTAAACAGGCAATTCTATTTTTTTTTTTTAATATTTGGAGTTTTGGAGCTTTATAATGCAATAGTATAATTTACATTATAGATGCTTTTTAAATCAACAGGAAGGTGAAATCAACGCTCTTTTGTCATCTCAATTAAAAAATGTTTTTCCGTCGTCTTTGTTGTTATCACATGATCAAGTAATTCTTTCTATTCTTTTTTTTTACCATTTGGAGTTTTGAAGCTTTATAATGCAAAAATGTGATTCACCTGTGAATCATACATTGATTTTTTTTTTTTTTGCAATTGACAGGAGGAAGAAGTTCACGTTCCTTCGCCATTACCACTACAGGGCTATATAACTTTTGTTCTATTTTATAATTATAATTATGTACGCTACTGGCTATAGTATCAGGGTACTGTTCCAAAAATTACTAAATAGTATTTATCCGGGCTTTTATTACAATTTGATAAGGATTGTCGATTATAATAATCTCTGGGTCTTTGTCATGGGGTAATATAGTAGGGTACTATAGTCAGTGGTATTTAACAGTTTTTTATTGTCAGATTACTTAACCAATTAATTTCTTTTTTAATTTGTAGGACTTCAATTCAGACACTTATTTAGTTAATGAAGCAATGGATGATACGGAACCAGAGGATATTGATAGTCTATCGGATTCTGTGAATTTGGCTTTGTAAATATGCGATAAAAGAAGATTTTAGCTATAAAACTAGGACTAGTGAATATGATCAAGATATTTTGAGAAGAGCTGTATTTGAATGTACAAAATCTGGTGTCTATGATCCAAAAATAACAACTGACCTGACCAAGTGCTATAAAGCTTCTTCCCAACGGATTAAATGCTCCTGGAAACTGAATGCTAATTGTCAAAAGGCAAATAATATTGTCAAAATTACTTCATTTACAAATAGTCACAATCAACCTCTTACCCCTATGATTAATGAGATCGCTCCTCAATTTCGCAAACTAACACTTTAAATGTTGGACGACATTAAAAAATATGTGATTCAAGGTAGATTGAACTTTTCATCAATATATCCTTTGATAAAATAAAATATACTAATATAAAAATTAAAAAAAATAATATAAAATATTAATTATTATATTAATGGATGTGTATCTTC